CATTGCCCATAAATTCACTAGCACCTTCCCTCCACCCCCCCCCACATGGCAAACGATGCCTACTTTTGCTATCCTTTCTGTACCAAATTTCGCTGACCTCTCTGAGTTAGAGTACGCGTCAACGCGCGCGACTATGGAGTTTCCAGACGGCGTGGCAGCTACTTTTGTCCTTTTTCTACAAATATTTTGATCTTCTGTTGAGTTCCCAAATCCTTTTCATTCAACATTATAGTCCGCTTTTCATCGGAGTTGACTAATCACGTGGAAGAAAGTTTTAATCAGGGCACGTCGTACCTTAGGGATCTCCAGCAAGGGAGCTCGTATGTGGTCTTGAGGAGGGAGCAGGGGAGGGGAGTCGTATTTGCCTTTGAGAAGATTTCTCTCGACTGTTGACCTATCTCGGTTTTTTTTCTGTTTCTTCTTTCCTATTTCAAATGCGTCAGTTACCTCTCTTCCTCGCTAGAAGGCATTTTTTGGAGGTAAAACAGGAGGAATTCCGGGAAAAAACTCTGGAAAATTAGTAGGAAGGGTTGGAATATGTGGGAAGATGGTGGATGTGCATGAACGAAAGGGGGGGGTCGTTCTAGGGGAAACAGTTCCAAAAGGAAGTCGTATTTTGCGGAAAAAATTCACAATGCTAGGACGTGCCATGGATTTGATAAGACTGTTCTTACTCGATCGAGAACGACGTAAAACTGAGTACTTTGAAAATCGCTGGTAATTGTAAGGCATGTTAGAAGCTGCTCCTTAAACCGTCCACATTCAAATGCGTAGAGTCAAGAAACCCTTTTTCGCGCGAAGTTTTCGCGGAATTGAAAGCGAGGGTGCGAGTTATACCACATAATAGGGTACATCCACCTGTCAATCCCGCTCTAGATAGGTAGCTGTTTCACTGGAGTCTGCTTAAAACTGGCCAATTTCATAGGGATGGAAACTTGTTCTGCTACTTTTTGTTGTTAATGCATCGTTTCCAATCCAGTGAGGCTCGAAAATTGACTGTTATCCAAACTTACTACTTAATACGAGCAGTCACAACTTTACTCCAGTGGAATCAGTGATACACGACCCACTTTAGAAGTTCAGTGTCTTCCAAATTAAAAGAGCTCATTGCCTTTCCAGCTGGTAATTGGTCATCAGGAGCAAGATGAGTATTTTCTTCAACGATTTATAACCTTTTCAAGAAGTTCCTGAGGAAACACTTAACCCTTCCCCCATCTACACCCGCGACAAGCGACCGCAATCGGGACCTGGCTGTCTTCTTGCCAGGAGTAGCTCGAATCTCTGCGATCGGAATCCATTCTCTCCACTCGTTATTACCTTTTCTGTGTCCCTTCAAAGTTCTTTATCCCTCGTAAAATTCATATCCTATTGTGAATTCTTGGCCGTAACAGCCGTTCATAGCTAATCCGTACGCCGCTGTGAATAGGCTGTATTGCCGGTGGAAATAGCATCGGAAGAACCTGTTCAGTTGGTGTGTTCCTGCCCTCACACATATAGAAATGACACATTTGATCAGCTCTGCCTGGAGGAGAACGTGAACGAAACGGTTTCTGAGCGTTTTTCGTTCCAGGAGTGTCTCAGTGATGGCATTCGATTGCACATCGATCCGGTCGGCATGTTCGTCGGTCATGTCTATGTGACGGGACATTTCATCGGAAAGTACGTAAGAATTCACTTCATTATCTGCTCATTCATCCCAGGGGTGCTAGTTTTGGCCAAACATGCTTTGTAGGGAGAAATACGGTTTCCTTTGGTCAATATAGTTTTTCAGAATGTGTAATTTGGAATCATCAATCGATTAGTTGACAGGCTTAATATGACAGTTGATAAGCATCATCTTTCAAACTTATTTTCGTATTTTTCAATTCATCACCGCCCATCTTCCGTTGCTTGCGGTGTCAGGGCACTTTGTACGCTGGGGATCCTCGTATCTGCTCGCTAGAGGGAGGGGGTCGTATCTGGCCTAAGGAACTCTCCTTCCCCTCCCACCCTCGCCTTTGTTGGGGCGTGGTCAAAATCCTATGCATGTAGCACTTGAACTTTTCGGTAGTCGTATTTAATAGTTGTTTACGGCGATTCCTCTACTCCTTCTAGGCTCGAACAGTTTTTTGAAGGGAAAACCCTGGAAATCTCAGGAAATTGTCGGAAAAAGAAAAAAATGGGAAACAGCGAATGGAGTTAGGAGGAAGCGGGAAGAGTAGGTAGCATCTGGGTGAGGGAAGTCGCACCAGAAGAGGAAGTTCGGGGGGGGGTCTCAGTTTGCGAAAATTTTCCTAGCAACAGCAAATTCCCTGCTGTGTCTCTGCAGAAAAAGTCAAGCGAACGTTCACAGTTCTTTTTAGGAATGTTGGCTTAGTATTGGTTGCTTGATCAGCTCATTGGAAACATCTACCATTGCAAAATTCACTATAATATACGGTCGACATGAAGTAAGGTTCCCCTCAGCGGGTGTCCACTGCCGAATGCGACGCAATCACCTGTCGGGTACTAAAAGGGCTTGGTGGGGCCTTTTGCTGATTTCTATAGATCAATGCCGATGCCGTTTGTGGGGACAATAGAATCCCATTTGACAAGAGTTCAAAGCTCCAATCAAGGTGAGAATGTTACTTAACAGGAATCAGAGGAATCAGCAAGAGCAACTGGCGAATGCGCGTATTCCCAAGCCGAATAGCGAATGGGACCCTTGTTTAGGGTTAAGATGGTGTTATCATGAAAACATCAAATGAGATCCATCACTAATAGTCGTTGTCTTTCATGATTCCTTCACCTTATCCACTAAGAGGTCTGCTGACCTGGCGAAAAAAGAGACCCACAAATCGAAACGCAATGTTATGGCTTATAAACTCCTTTTTACGAGGATGAAAAAGTCTTGGCACCATTTGAGACAATAGTATAATACGCGATAAACAAGCGACTACCACGTCCCAATATGAAGCTATCCCATCAGAAGCACTGGAAACGCAGAAACCGCCACGATCAAATGAAGTACAAATTTACGCCCTCACCGTTACAAGGCTATGAGTGCATGTTGCATTTCCGAACCTTTCTTCATTACTTATGATGCCAATTCATACATGTCTTTCACTCTCCTTTCTTTTGTGGTGGTTTTCTTGTTGTAGCCAGGTAATATTAGGGGACAAATGATGATGCCCACCGACAAGTATAGCCTGTAAAAAGAAGTTAGCACTGGACGTCATAACGGAGGTTCCTTATTGATGTCAAAACCCTAGCACCACTTCTTTCATAGCTGCATTGATGTGGACGTAACCAGTTATGTCACATCACTGCCCCTTCTTAAAGAGTCCACCGAAGCGGCGAGAAGAAAAACCTAGGGGCACTGAAGAAAGCATAGTTTGCTCTAATAAAGGGGATAGGCAAGTACCAAAAAAACGGTAATATAGTTGACAGTAGTGATGGGAGGGCGAAAGTTGGGGGGAGGGCAAGCTAATGGTCAAGCAATTAATTATGGGTGACAACGATCAGATCAGGCAAGATTTGAGCGAGGCGGTTTTTCCGTGCTCCTCCCTCATTTTCGATGCCGATAGAAGGACGACACATAACGACGTTGTTTTTCGAATCAGGGTTATTGAATGGGGAAAAAGTTTTATCGTGGCTCCTCTACCATTTAGTGTCGCCTCATTTACACTGCCGACGATGCATAGATAGCAAAGGATAAGGGGCTCGTCAGGTCATTCTGAGACTACTTCGAATCTCGATTATTGAGGGATGTATCCTTATACAGAAAAAGATAACTTCTTCTACGAGAGATCCCTCACTCGTTTACTCAAGGAAGTTACTTCTTTTATTATCAATAATGACGTTACTTTGAGATTGCGCTTTCTCCGCAGTTTAGAGAACTCTTCTCCTTCCCTCAGTGCGCAGCCTGATAATTTTGATTCCTCTCATAGCGACACTAAAGCCTGTTTGGCTGCCTGTCCCATTCTAAGAAACTGGATTGGACTCATTCTGCGACCTCAATGAAAAGGTGTGAAAATATGAGTTTGTTGGTGCTAGATGACTAAATAGTGCAGAAGGAAACGAACGAAGCAGTCGGAAACCCCTCAAATAAGGTATGACCTTTTTAAGATGCGGTGAATACGTCAGTGAAGTGGAGACGCTGAGCGAAGGCAAACATGGGCTAGAGCCACACACCGCGCTCAGCAGGGCTAGAGAATGGATAGCAATCCGTCAAACTTGGTCTATTCGAGTTTTCTAGAGGTTGCAAGCTTCGCGCGCAACTACCAGGTACTTCCCAGATGCAAAATCGGCACACCCGGTGCAGAGCACCGCACCCGTTGTTAAACACTACGGAAGGGGTCGCTCAGCACTGACAGAAATGCAATGAGTGAGAGGGCTTTTTTATGTCGATGGAGCTATGTTCGCTGGATGTATCTTCGATGAAGAAATGCTTCGCAGTTTAATAGTCTCGGTGTTCTCTGTTTGTATAATCTTGGTGTATTGATAATATTTTTCTGTGCCAACGAGGATTTTAGGTGGAACTCTAAACCACAGGTAGAGGATTGCGACCAGATCGTACTCCTAAGAGGCCTGAACGACCCTCTGAGCAGTCCTTCTCATCCTCCTAGCGTTTCGGACGGAACTTTGACAAACATCTAAGAGTTATCCGCAACTAAAACATGCTCACCAAACTTTTTATGTCTAATGTTTTTAGTTTAATTGCTATTTATGTCAAGTTTTTTTCTACATCCCTCAGGAAAAACATCCTGTTGTGGTGCAATGAATAAACAAAAATAAAAACACTTTCTTTCGTGTTGAACATTTCACACATTTCAGCATTTCTTTATGCATGTCCCCTTGACAGGAAAAAATGCGTACGTTGGCTGTTGCATGGCTCGTGAATATGAAGCTACCCAGTGGCCAATAGACGGCAAAAGCAACTGCGCAATGAATTTTCAACTTTTCCAGATCATTAAAAGACTTGAAATTCCAGCAAATGTCATTTGAACTACTGCAGACAGGCCACACAACAACCATTTGTAATGGAGGTGCCGTATCGTGGCGAATGTAATGTTCGGCGTCATCGTTTGGTTAGTGGACAATGAAGAAAGTTTTTTTTTTAATTTGCCCTTTCAATTGCTTTTTGCGTCATTACATTCACTGTTTTTCGTGTTGCAGAAACTGAGGCAATATAGGAAATAATAAGGGGGCGATGGGCTCAGTGTCGCTTTCTTTGGCTAGGGTTCTGTTGAGTTATACTCTTAAAATGATTTCCCTCAGGATTAGGAGACGTACAAGATATCAGTGATCATTTGACCAAACCTAAACGCTCATTGCTAGAGGAGCCCGTAAGCAGGCAGGAATAATAAATTATAAGCACAGGGGAGCAGACGGGAGACAGTATGATAATCTGTGCGTAAAAATGGGTGAGTTCAAGCAGTGAGTGCACTCACCCACTCACATTTCATCCACTTGGCACCTGGCTGGAGAGCGGATTGCGTGTTCTCGCTTCCCGACCTCAGCCTGAGTTCCCCCTGCCCTGGCTAGGGTCAAGTATCACGACGGGGAAAGTCGCCCGGTCGGTACGACCCCTCCCATACATGGGTGGCTCGCCAAAGAAATGCAACTTCCTATACTAGTACAGCTCCTAAAAGGAGAGCGTCCGCGATCAATCAACGTGAAGAAATCCTTTAGAGTAAAATATGGCGGAGTATGTGGTCGCAGAGGATATGCCACTTTCGCGGCTCGAAAGCACTTGATAAAATGCACGACAGCTCAGCAACGATAAGATGACTCCGCCTATGAGGGCGGAGTCGCCCTCATAGGCGGAGTCAACAAGTCCACTTCGATCATTTTTTCACTACCAAGATTCGTTAGCGGTGATAATTGCTAATCTTATCGAATATGCCTTGGAGATGAGTCGCAGCAAGTGGCGATTAGATTCAGAGAACTCGCCCAAAGTTTGACTAACTCGTCCATTTTCAATCCTGTACATGAGGCCTTTTTAGTGCATATTCAACCTGTTCTTTTGCTTTTTCCTCCTTTGGCTTTATACTTGCAACATGATCTAATGGTTCTGAGCACTACAACCTGTGAAAGCAATCGCGAGCGCTGTCTTTAAGTTGGATATATTCCTCTCAGATCCCTGAACTCAACGGTTCTTGGGCACATCGAAGGGTCTCACTTGAACATTGCATGCATTTTGAGATCCTATGACATGGAAGCCCTCTACGCGAATTAAGCAGCTCTTTTGTAGAAGCCACAGCGAACACATTTGCTGAAACATTTTAGATGGTAAGGAAAATGTTACACACAAGCTGATAGCTTGTCTATAAAGCTGTTGCCTTAGAGGCACCATCAAGCGCCAACCCAGCAGGGTGCAGGAGAAGGTCAACCTGCGCCTTGCCTTTCTCAATTCTCAGTTTGAGCTTACGGAACTGACACAGAAAAATCTTCTGAAAAATCTGGAGTGAACTGGTTCTTTTTTTCAGACATGGATAAGACTTCAGGACAGCAGCATTACACAAAGAGCAGAAAATTTAGCGAAAAAACCATTTTCTTCTCCCGTCGTCCTCATCCTTGAAACCAAACGGGTTTTTTGGGGCAACCTGTTTTGAGCACCAGCTCGAATCGACTCGCGAGAAGATGAGCGGGAAGATGCCACATGAACTCCTGGCTTTACCAGGAAGTCTCTGGCGAACAACGCGCTTTTGATACTGATTTATTACAGTCCTCATCATTACGTACTGTCGGGGCGGTTCAGTGCGGCTGCGTTTGGCGCGGGGCCAAAGTCGTTCTGCACCAGTTGTTGAAGTGACATTACTGTATTATATCCTTCGTATTACTCGTTTTCTACCACTTTTTGTCGCATACGCGTTTCAACAAAAAGGCTGAGAACGGCTTCAACAGTGTGCACACTCATACTGGCTGACACGCCCCACCGGTCCGCAATGATGAGGACTGTACCTATCGAAGACTCAAGTCAATGATATAATCTGTGTTGCTGAATACAGCCCTCTCCCTCCTCATAGGCAACTTGTCTAGTCACTGTTTCCGGGAATATGGGTATCTGGGAATGAAAGAAGCGGTATGTTTTCGCTCAATTCCTCAGTCGAATTAGGTATTTTTTCAGAGCTCGAGACGGACGGAAGAGAGCAGATCCGCAAAACACAGCGTAAGAAGTAAAGCTTCAAGAAGGAAGCGGCCTTTATTTTGGATAGAGCACAACTGTAGAGCGCCACTGCAGGAGTTCCAGTTGATCAGTGGGTGGACTACCCGGATCCATACCTGCACTCCAGCCAGGAGGCTCCTCGCATCCATGAGAGGAACACCTACCGTCGGCTGTCTTGTTCAGCGGTGGGAAAAACCATATTCCACCGAGGCTCTGTCACGCTCGGATAGTTACTCAATTCTTCTGATGCGGGCCCAATGAAGTGTCGTAGCAGCGCTGCATACATTGAGCCCAGGTAAAGGATTGCTGCGCAGCCTTGTGCACTTCCCCGCTGAGCGACGAATGTTGCACTTCTCAAAAAAATACTTTAAGAAATTCATAGGACATTCTAGTGGTTGCGCTGAAAACTTTGAATCATTCCAGCTGTTATAAAGCCATCGATGACAGCTCAATGAATAAACGAGTAGGTACTCTACCAAGAATCGAAAGTCATCCTTGAGGTCCCTCATGGTTGCCTCAACCTAAAACGATAAAATACGCTCGCCTTCGACGTAGTAAGGCTGAACAAAAAGGAATAGTAGTATTGAGCGTTATTTTGGTCAATTTAGTTTGTTGTGAATTTTAATGGAATGAATTTTGAAGTGAATTTTAGCCTTATCCCATGGCGGTCTCGTACGAGGTTACGGTGGTTATTCAGCGCCATCCGTTGTTTATTACTGCTGGTGATCGAGCATATCGTTTGAACTGCATTTATAGACAGGCGGACTCGACGCTCACGCAAAAGATCAAGATCAAGTAAGAACTCTACTGTTGACTCAAATCTACTGTTGACTATTGGTAGCTCGAAAGATTGTGATCCCTGGCATGTGGATGAGAAAGGGGTTGGCAGCTGTGGAAGTGAACCACCTCTGTCATTCCAATAATGGTCTGAAACGAAAAATAAAGATTACTGGCGCTGACCTGCATGCAAAGCGCGCTACGTGTAACACGCCGCACGGTGGGCCAAATGCATAGCCAGATGCCTGTCTCTTTTACAGAATCGGCTCAATATGTGCGCTGTAGGAGTGTGGTATTGGCACAATTGCAGCACATCGAGGATAGCTCACAAGGAGATGCAA